TTTTGCACCTTCAAATCATTTTTCTCACAAAGAGCCTCACTGGTGCTGAGTTTGTCTTTCAGCTCAGCGAGCTCACAGTTGGCTCTTTGTTCCTGATCTTTGCGCTTTGCAACTTCCTCTTCTAGAGTCTTTTAAGTTTTGAGGAACTGCTTATGGAGTTGTTCGATCTCTTCTTGCTGTTTTTTGCACTGGACCTCCAACTCAGCTTCTCGAACACTTTTTACATCTGTAGAGTCTGTGTGTGGAGCTTCTGCAGTTTGTGTTGAAGCGTCCACACTCAGCTCTGCAGCTGTGACAGCTGTGTTGCTGTCATCAACAGAAGCTTCACTCACCTCAGGTGTTGTTGTGTCCTCGGGTCTGTTTTTCTGCCAGCCTGTTCCAGTTCTTCTTGGAGCTCAAGGATGGTTTTTTAAGCATTTTCTCTGTAGCACTGTAGCTGCAGGCGAAGCCAATTGTGGTGGGGCGTGGTCTGCGGTGCCATGCATGGAGTGCAGACGCACCTGCACGGCATCCTTAATCACGCCCACCGAGTTAAAACCACGGGGACTCATTAGTTGGGGTGTGATGCAAGTCAATAAAGATGGCTTAATACTGTGACCTGTGGACTCGCCGTGCCTTATTCACACACCACCAATTATTCTGTGTTTTAGCCGCAGCAGCTTTGTGGTTTGCAGCTGTCAATTTGTAAAGATTGGTTTTCCACATGTGCTGAGCCTCCTGCAGGTGGCATTTCAGCGCACCCAGTTCATCAGTGTCATTATATGGACGACTGCCATTGTTTGGTATTAAGTGAGGTTTAGGCTGTGGTTGAGACGGCCCATCATTGGTTCTAAGGTCAGGATTTGGCTGATGTTGCACAGGCCCTTGATTTGGTAAAAACTGTGGATTTTACCAATGTTGCCCAACAATACTATACAACGGTGCCAATGTTCTTCTTTTAAGGTTTAAGACAATAGTTTTAATACCAGACATAGCAAGATAGATAAATATTGAAGAGTAAAAAGTATAATCATTTAAGATAGTGGAATACAAAACAAAACTGAAAGCAAAAGTACCTTGAATTTGTACTTAAGTACACTGCTTTAATAAATAAATACTTTTCATCACTGGAAAAAAGGATTGTGTAAACCCGAGAGGTTTTTTGTTTTTTGTACCAAGGAGGTTTTGTAGTAAAGTCATGAAACCATCTTTCATGTCTAAGCCATACAGGAGATTTTTTGTTCTTGACCAATGTTCCTCTTTCAGAGCTGAGAGTGAAGATGAGTCCTTCT